CTCCCCCAACACCGGCGAGCTCCCCCTCCCCCCACACCGGCGAGCTCCCCCTCCCCCAACGCCGGCAAGCTCCTTCTCCCCTATACCGACGAGCTCATGTTCCCCCCACGCCGGCGAGCTCCTCCTCCCCCACACCGGTGATCTTCTTCACGCACGACGGCGACCTCCTCCACTAGTACTAGGATTACTAACCTCTTGCAGAGAATAAACATTAATGGAGGAGAATCGACAGCAAAATAGAAGATCAATCAATCAGACGCTGTCGAGAATCAGACTTAGAGGATGATGGGCCAAGAACTCAGAAAGAAAAGAATCAATTTGGGCCAAAATTCACAAGTCTTCAGAAACCAACAGATGAGGAGGTCGCCAGCCAAATTGTGGGCTGGTTGGGCCGATTCCTGGTTCGACCGAACCTCGGGTTGGGCCGAACACTCCTTAGCGCCGCTCGATACAGGGTTGGCTTTGGACGGCTGGATTTGCTTCCCTTTGGCGGTTAGAGGGTATTACCGACCTTTCCAACCACCATAACTGTTATTACCAGCCTATTTAAGGCCATCACTCTCTCCATTTCAATACACACCTCAAGCAAGAAGAATCGAGCTCTCTCTCTAGTTTAGTAGTGTTCTCAAGCTAGTGGAGTAGGAATAGAATAGGAATCTTAGTCCAAGAAGTCTTCGGAAGAATTCGGGTATGGTTCTAGTAGCTCTACTCTCTTTTGTAAGTCTTGTACTTTTATTAGAATATTCTTTTTTATACTACTCTGATATTGTATTACTTTTCGAGTATATGAATACCAACTTTACTATATATTAGAGTTATATTGATTATGATGCTAGCTTATCTGGGAAATGCAATGGTGTGGGTATAATGATCGTGTACACGATTGCTCTATGTCATGACGATGATATTAGAGTAGTATTGGGTAATTTAAGCGTGGTGTTTAGATTACTGGATGCCGTTATTTGGGGTTATATGTTGCGAATACGTCGAGGTGGGCCGCTGATGGTGACAGCTCAGTACGGGTATTCCTCCGCACGTGTATATAGTCCTAAGTTACTTTCCTGGGAGGGTACTCCTCTATATTTAGCCCCGGTTGGATGGTCATGATGGATTGTCGTAAGGAACTCGACAATCAACGGTGGCTTCTCGAAACACCAGGAGGGCATTGGAAAGAGGGTATTAGCTAAGTAATCATATAACTAGGATGTGTGTATAATATGTATGCATATTAGAAGTATAGGAATAGATTCTCTCTCTTTTTTCTTTCCACTTAGCTTAAAAGATTTATTATGAGAGTATACAATTCTCTTGCTGTGTGTCACTCTACCCTTGTTATTATCTTAACCCCTGCTTAGACTTTGATTGTTACAAGATAAACTATTAGTATGGTTTTCTCTATTATAATCTTCCCATGGGATTAAACAAATACGATACCCTTGGAATACTCTCGAGTGAAATGCTACAATGGTATATCCATGCGCTTACAGATGAAATCTGCAACCATAGTATACCACGAGTATTTCTGCGGCATTGTTGGGAATTATATTTTCTAGTAATGTCGTTAAGAAATACCAACAGTCATACCATCAGTTTGTGCACAATCACTTCCTAGGGACCCCGGGCTTGTCGGACGGCTGCCATGCAAACACGTCGATGTTGTCTGGAGGAAATTGATGAGTGTGAGTTCCTATTTTTCATCGAGGCCATCCCCGATTTCGACCGTCTTGTTAGGGGCTAAACTCGAGAGTGTTATCAACTTGATGCCTTCGTTAGTTTTGGCCAATAGGCTATGCCTGTTCTAATTTTAGGGAGGCTCATCGGCAGCGAGTGTGGTGGTAATTTGCTTGACCATATTGAGACTCCGCTTATCAAATTGCACAACCATGTTGGTGTTCCTAGAGATTGTGATGACGTCCTTTAGTCCTAGCATCTTGACAAGCTGATACGCATAGTGGGATGCTCACATGAATTTGACCAGCGTTGTCCTCCTGAGAATAGCGTTGTATGCAGTACTAAACTCAGTTACATTAAACGTAATCTTCTTGGTCCCGAAGTTGATGGTAGTGCAAAATTCACCAGCAAAGTGATCTTCCCCAGCTGTTTTGAGGATGGTTATGGGATGATCCCATGGAAGGGTGATTGGAGGGTTTGAGCTCGCTTCTAGGGATTCCCATCACGTCAAGGGCGTAGGCGAAAAGGAGGTTGATTGAGTTGCCACCATCGATTATGATGCGTGGAACCTTGAGATTCCTAATAATGGGCTCAACCACGTACTATAGGATATCATCTAGGAGTAGTGGTCAAGGTTGGGTGGTCATCTTCAAAGAATTTGATCTTCTGGTACAACCAAGGCAACTTGATGTTTGACCCTGCGTTCCACCCTTTTGTATTCTCTCTTGGAAGAGTAAGAGGTGGACTTGCCAAAGATGTGAGCTACGTGGTGATCAGGGTCTGGGAAGTTGCCATTATCATCGGATTGTGGGCGTCTATACTCTTTCTCGACCAAATGTACTCGTTGGTCCTGTAGGAGTGCCATCTATTTGGCCATCTCCTTTTGGAAAATAGAGCATGCTACCAAGCTATGTGAACCGGTCTTGTGTATCGGACACCACTGTCTTCCAGAGGCTTCACCCTGGGCTTCAAAATGTCGAGGCTGTTGTGGTTCTGTTTTTGTACCGAGTACCTCCCCTTCCGTCTTACGCTTCTTGTTCCTCTTATGGGGTTGCTATGGCTTCTTACTTGTTTCGGGCTCCTCTTTCTTAGTAGGTGGCTTCTCATCAAGTACCTTCCCCTTTCCATCATTTTGTCAAACAACCTTATCGGCATGGGCACACCCATCAACGATTTCGAATAGCTTCATTGCTGAAGTTGTCTTTCTCATCATCAACTCTTGGATGGTGTAGTAATCTTAGACTCCTTATTTGAATCTGATGACAGAGGAGTCAGTGATCTTAGGAATAGTGTTACGACATTCGTTGAATCGTTGTGCAAAGTCCTTGAGAAGTTCACCGTTTTTGTCTCACATCATGCAAATCATCCTTAACCGCGTGTCTCTTGTACGTGCCCTGAAAGTTTGCTACTAATTGCCGCCAGAGATTTGCCCATGATCCAATTGAAGATCTGGGAAGGTGTATCCGCCATGTGCGGGCAGATCCTTTTAAAGCAGTTGGCAAGTAATTTTGCCAATGTGTTATTATTTGCGCCAGCTGCACAAAGAACACTCAAGTAGATGTGGAGGAATTCCTCGGGATTAGTGTTGCTACCGTATTTCTCAACCGGTCCTAGGTGGAACTATGTAGGCCAATGTACCTCCCGCAGGGAGGGTTTGAATGCCTTGCAGCCGCCACTGGGCTGGATAGCCAACCGGTGGTCATCCTCCGAGAAGGCCTCCGTGGGGGTTTTGCTTCAAGATGATGACGAAGAGGAAGGGACATCGTGGTCAGGGGCAATGCTCCAAGAAAGGCGATTATTTTCTTCATCATATCGTCATGGGAGTGACCGGGAATTCCTTCGTGATGGCAGTGTCTTTCAAGTAAAAAATCATAAACTCCGAATAAGATTTTGTGAAACATGGTCTAAATGCAAAAGGTTTCATAAATTTTATTCATATTTTACATGATTTTCTTGAATTGTATGAAGTAAACCTAGCTAGTGCAAAGTGAAACTCATTTTGATAGATGGTGGTGTAAGGTGAAAGTATATGCTAAACTTGGTGCAAAGTGAGATAACGCACATTCTATCTGGTGCAAAGTGAAATTTAATGTAATACACATTAATACCCTCTATAGAATTGTGGAGTTACAAAGCACAAGAATAGAGATAACATAAATTTTGAATAAGAGTGCATATGCAAAACCTGAGGATTGCAAACATAGGGAAAAAAGTGCAGGAATAAATATTTGGACTGGCTACTGGGAAAATCATGAATTGAATGAGAGGTATGACTCAAAGAAAAATTTTCCTCCAAAATTTCATGCAATGAGCCATAACAAGGAATTCCAAAGAATTCAAACATTGGTATCCATATATTCTTGGTTCCAGAGGAGACAGAGAATATGGTAACTCTATTTTATTCATCAAACATCAGCCTGCTAATGGGGGAGTAATTAACTTTTGGGAAAATTGTAAAAGCCACCCCATAAGTCACGTTAACTTTGACATTTCACCGCATAAATTATTTTGTTGCAAACGCCCACCCCCATACTCGGCTTTGTTGTAAAAACCACCCTAGTGCACACGTGCCATACTGAATCAATATGTTTTAATAAATTATTAGGCATCAATGTGGTGTACAACAAAATTAAATACTTCTAGGAGTACTGTCTTGACACCTTTTTTTTTAGATTCCACAAATAGAATTGCTGATGGGAGCTTAAATATTGTTGCACTGAGTTTCACTATATGTAGAAAAAAAATCATGAAACATGAAGAATAAGTCAAATGCAAGCACTTGGAAAAGATTGACCTAACTAGCTTAGCCTATTAGGCTCTACATCAGCGATAACAGGCTGATTTGGTTAAGCACGTGCACGCTGGGTGGTTTTGCAAAAAAACGGAGTAGGGGTGGGCATTTTCAACAAAATGACTTATGAGGTGGAATGTCAAACTTTAAGTGACTTCTGAGGTGGTTTTGCAATTTTCCTTAACTTTTTACCACTCGTGCAGAGGTGAGTGGCAAAAGATTCGCCACATTGTGAGAGGGATTAAACTGAGCTAATAAAGAGTGGTAAAAAGTTAAATCTCCGGATCGGGCCATGCAACAGCTGGTACCAATATATATTTTTTGCCAGAATATAAGAACCAACTTTAGTCCATTATAGTAAGAACAACAATTAATCATGTACTTTTAGTACACATGAACTTAATCAAAATTAAAGTACCTCCCACACACATTCTTTTTCTATTCTCAATGATGATAAGAACAAAGTACTCCAGGATTTATTCAGAATATATATATATATATATATATATATATATATATATATATATATAATAGGCTCAATGCACCTTGTAAATATTCCCACACAGTCCAGAGAATGATCATCGCGCAAACCTTGACGACAATAATATTTCCTCTTCTGTTGTGCTTTCTGTTATTGCTTCCTTGGTAACTCCTTCAACTGACATGTAGAGAGTTGAATTCTGATTTTCATCAGGTCTCCTTGATGCAGTAGTATTCCCATTATGGAAGAGGCCTTTCTTTGAAGCTATGTTTTCCAATGCCATCTCTACTTCCCTCATCGTAGGCCGGTCTTCTCCTTTAAATTTTGTACATGCTATAGCTAGTGTGGCTACTTCTAGGGCTTCTCCATCATCTTCTTCCTTGACTTGAGGATCTATTATATCATAAAGGTTACCTTCTGAAAATACTAATACAAAATGTGAAACAAGATTGTGACCATTATCAAATGTATCACCAACAGGTTTCTTCCGAGTAAGCAACTCCATTAGAAGAACACCAAAACTAAAAACATCGCTCTTGCTTGTAAGTCGCCCTGTATAGTAATACATGGGATCCAAGTAGCCAACAGTTCCTTGAACTGCAGTAGTTATTCCTGTTTGATTAATCGAGATGTATCTTGAAGTTCCAAAATCAGATACCTTAGCTGTTAGACTATCATCAAGAAGTATGTTGGATGACTTAATATCTCTATGAAATATTGGCATTGATGCTGCTGAATGTAGATATGATAGAGCTCTAGCAACTTCAACAGTGATCCTTAGTCTATCGTCCCATGATAATGATACTGGTCCGTCTACATGGAGATGATGATAAAGAGTTCCATTTGAAATGAACTCATAAACTAATAATGGAACTTCCGTCTCAAGGCAACATCCTAGGAGCTTCACCACATTTCTATGGTTCACTTGTGAAAGAATTGTAACTTCATTTATGAATTCATCTATTTCTCTTTGTACAACAATCTTTGATTTCTTGATGGCCACGACATGTAGGTCTATAATCCCTTTGTACACAACCCCATGCCCTCCATCTCCAACCTCTCGAGTTTTGTCAAAATTGTTTGTGGCCTTCTCTAGCTCCTCTAAGTTAATGATCATTCTTTCAGCAAAATATGTGTTTCGTGATATTAACTGTTGCAATAGCAACCCATGGTTTTGTGTAAAGAATTTATCTCTCATTTTTTTCATCCTTTGTAGCTTGAGTTTGCTTACTATGAAGGGAGCAGCGAAGCCCAGAAGTAGAAGTAATGAGCCACCACTGACTATTAGACCTATCATTAAGCCTGAAAACAAAGCATTACATGGAAATACAAATTTTCATGAATTTGAAGAGAGGAAAATGTTAATATATGTAGAAAAGAGTAACATTAGCACAATTTAGGAACAAAAGGTGTATGCTTGGTGGTACACCTCCTTTGAATTTTTTAAAGGGACTATGAAGAAAATACTAAAATAGTCATGCCAACCAAACATTAACTCGTTCTTGTGGTCTAAAAATAAATTACCATATTAATGATAAATAGAAAGAATTATGTTGCTGATTTATAGAAATAAATAAAGTGTTAAATGTCAACAATGATTCTATATTTCACATGGCCTGCAATTGGGTGAGAAATTTGCCTAGTTCTTTAGATCGTACGACCATGATGCAGTTAGCCTTAGGTGGATTTACAATCTTTTTTGAAAGAGAGGTATGCCATATTACGAACTGAACTCTTTAAATTAACTGTATATATGTAAATTACACACATGCAAACTTTGTGGCCTTTTCACCTTTAGATGAATGATTGTCCGTACACCCTCCTTTTGTATAAGGATCCCCATGGGTTCCGTCGTGGCAGCGACAGTGAAAAGTTCCGGGCATATTTATGCATACTCCACCATAACATGAATGTGTTTCTAGGTGCGCGCACTCGTCAATGTCTAGAAAACACCAAACCAAAAGTATCAATGCGCCAAGGCATCAAATTAGTATACTACTCTCTCCGTCTCAGGTTATAAAACGTTTTAACTTTGGTAAAAGTTAAATTGTTTCAAGTTTGATTAAGTTTATAGATAAATATAGTAATATTTATAATACTAAATTAGTTTCATCATTAAATAATTGAATATATTTTCATAATAAATTTGTCTTGGGTTGAAATGTTACTACTTTTTTCTACAAACTTGATCAAACTTAAAGTAGTTTGACTTTGACCAAAGTCAAAACGTCTTGTAATCTGAAATGGAGAGAGTACTACATAATAATAAGCTGTAATATAAATGCAGTAGAATTAATAATAAGCTGTAATATAAATGCAATAGAATTAAGAATCGCCAAAGTGTTAGAAATTACGGGACATGCATGATTGCTAGCTATGGTATTAACTGAAATTAACATGGCTGTGTGCATCCCATTTAAACATAGAGGCTGGGTTTTAATCGATTTTCTTAAAAAAATAACTAAAACTAACGAGAGTGCGAGGGGTTTAATGAACTAAAAATCTACTGCTTCTGTCTATTACTAGTCCTTGGCTCCTTGCAGTGTACGTTAATAACAATATATGCGTCAATGTTGGTATCCATTCGGTATTGAAGCGTTGCCCTTGAATCCTCGAGGGCAATTGCAATCATACCCTCCTTGCGTTTTGTTGCAGTCACCGTAACACTGGTAGATGTGAGGAGATTTGCATTCATCGATATCTAGACAAGCAGAATGAAATTTGTTAGGAGTATATAAGTAGAAACCTTTGCCTAGGCCCAGAATTCCCTTTCGGCCCACGGCTGGGTTAGTTTCTCTCTTCGCAAAAACAGGCACAGCTTGGCGCACGCGTAGGGTGAGAGATCGATCTGTCTCACCGTCACGCTCCTACGCCGCTGCTGTTTGCCTGCCGATGGAGAAGAACGGCCGTCAGGGGTATGGGGCTGCAGGGCAAGGTTTTGCTGCGAGGGGTTTTCATCCAGGTTTCGGTGGGAGAGGTCGTAGCCGTGGAAGGGGCAGGTTTGGTCGCGGTGGCCGCCATGACTTCGCCCAAGGTGGAAGATGGTATGGGATTCCTGGAGGTGGTCATGGCAATGGGTTCGGTTTGAATGCTGGACCGAACACTGGCTTTAGTGGTGGATATCACGGTGGTTTTGGTTTAAACCCTAATCTAGGGTTGCAGCCGTCGTTTGGGACTGCTGGCCGGCCTGGAGGGAGTGCGGGGCAGGTTGTCTTCCTTCTTCGTTCCTGCCGTCCGGGAGTGATGTGTCTACTGTGATGCCGCCGACTGGAGGAGGTGTTCCACCTGCGTTTATGCCGCCGGCTGGAGGCTTTGTGCCGGCTACTGCTGCACCTTTTGCTGCCGTGCTGGGTGGTGGTGGTGTTGGTGCACCTTTTGGTGCGGTTCCATCTACCGCCAGTGCTCCAGTTAGCAAGGCAGGAGGTGAGGAAGTGTTGGTAGGAGGTGATGTGACAAAAGGTGGAGCTTCTAATGCTGCTTTGTCTGCTGCAATGACGTCGAGGTTGGGTGTTTCCTCTGCTTCCCAATCTGCTGCTGTTGTTGGGACCGGTCCTGCTGGTGCGGGTGCAGGAGGTGCATTGGTCCCTCATGGGTCAGAGGGTGTTCATGGTGTTGATCAGCAAGCTCTGGTGTTTTGTCCAGTTGATGAGAGCAAGGGAAAAGCAAAGGTCGAGGTGAAAGGTTCGGGTAAGCCGTACTGTTATAGGTGTTATACTAAGGGGCGTACAATGCAGGAATGCTTGTCTAAATTTTATTGTGAGATTTGTGAAAGCGAGGATCATATTGCTGCTCGTTGCCCTATTTTTCGATCATATGTTAAACCTTCTGCTCAGTTATGTGGATATGCAGGAGATGGTTTGGGTTTCTTCCATATTCCTCTTTCAGCTGGTCAGAAAATTAAACATGAGCCTAGAGCAGCTTTGATTAAGGTGTCTAAAGGACAGATGACGGTGAATGCTGTGATTTCTGAGTTAGAAAGATTAATCCCTAGAGGATGGAGGTGGGTAGTACATGATAATGGGGATGGTTCTTTTCGCACTATTTTTCCTTTTGCCGCTGAATTAAAACGCATGGTGGAATGGGGTAAAGTGCATACTAAGGTTGGTGATGCTGAGATGCAGATTGTGGAGAGAGGGGTAGGTAATGAGGTTAAATATGTGATCCCGAATGTGTGGGTTCAGTGTAAGGGTATCCCTTCAGAGTTAAGGGAGTACTTAATTATTTGGGCCGTTGGTTCCATTCTTGGTATAACTAAAGCTGTTGATATGGTGTTTACTAGAAGGTATGACATTGCCCGGTTACAAGTGTTAGTCCTTGATCCATCTTTGATTCCTAAGGTGGTTGATGTGGTTATTGGGGATTACTTGTATGAGTTGACCTTTAGAGTGGAACCTGAGAATGGTCCTGAGGAGCCTATACCAATGGATATGGACAATATTGGTGATGGTGACTTCGAGAAGAAAAATGATGGTAATGAGAAGGGTGATTCGGGGAAGGAGCCGGGCCCTGGGGGCTCAAGTCAATCTAAGTTGGGTTCTGGAAGTATGTTCTGTGAGAAGGGTGGTCCTTCTTTACATTCTATTCAGGTGGGCTTGACTGCTGATTCTGGTGGCTTGAATCTGTCTGATGAAGAGTTTGATGGTTTACATGATGATGTAATTGGAGTTGAGAGAGTCCAATCTCAGGAAAGTCTGGTTGCAAAACTCTCTGCTATTCCTGAGGCAGCAGTCTCTCCATCCAGGAGGAGTAAAATAAGAGCAAGTGATAGTGATCAACTTGTTCTTCAAAGAGCTGAGAAGTTGAAGGCTGACAAGAATTTGGAAAATCTGCAGGTTAAAGGTAATTTAATTAATGATGTTTCTTTTTTACATTTTTCGAATGATCAGATTTCCGCTTCTATTAAAAACCTTGGTATCATTACTTCTAGTCCAAATGTGGTGTTAGATGATGTTATTAATGATTTAAGGAGTATGGAGGAAAATAGATTAAGTGATCATGTACGGTTGTCAACTACTAAAGGTTTTTCCAATAATGTTGATGGTGATTTAGTAGATGATCATTTTGATGATAATTTCTTACTGCAACATTTATGTAGTGAAATTATGGAGGAGGTAATGGATTCAGGTGGGGACTGTGATAATTGTCTTCAGACCACCTTAGATTCTAGGGATTCCCCTTCTAACTCCAAGAAAAAGGGGAAAAAAGGTAAAAATAAGAAGAAAAAAAATTAGTCTTAATGAAAGGTATCTTTTGGAATTGTGATGGGTTCAAATACCCAAAAAAAACACAAATTTATTTCTGACCTAACTAAAGAACATCAGTTGGATTTTATTGCTTTGTCTGAGACTGTTAAGAAAGATTTTGCTCCGGGCACACTTAAAAACCTTTGTGCTGGTAAAGATTTCTTGTGGCATTGTAAGGCTCCTAGTGGTAGGTCTGGTGGTTTGTTGTTAGGCATCAATTTACTTAATTTTGATGTTGGTTTAATTGATGAGGGTGATTTTTATGTTAAATTTCATTTATGTAATAGAGCTGACAAGTTCAAATGGGCCTTAGTTTTGGTTTATGGGCCGGCTCAAAACGAGAATAAGGATAAGTTTCTTGCTGAATTAGTCAATATGTGCTCTCATGAAACCTTACCAATTCTTATTGGTGGTGATTTTAATATTTTTACGCAGCCCTAATGAAAAAAGTAATAGCAATTTTGATGACCGATGGCCCTTTCTTTTTAATGCTATTATTGATGGGTTGTGCCTTAGGGAGTTGCAGATGTCTGGAAGAAATTTTACTAGGGCAAATAATTTAGCAAACCCAACTTATGAGAAGCTTGATAGAGTCTTAATGTCGACAGAGTGGGAACATAATTTTCCTTTAGCCTCGGTGGTTGCACTTAACAGAGATATTTCTGACCACACTCCTTTACTTTTAAACACAAATTCATCTTCTCAAAGTAATGCTCAACCTTGTTTTAAGTTTGAACTTGGGTGGCTTTTACGTGAGGGTTTTGTTGATATGGTGAGAGAGGTTTGGGATAGTGTGGATGAAGGAGACTCTCCTATTGAGCGCTGGCAAGCAAAAATACGTCGTTTAAGGCAACACTTGAGGGGATGGGCTAAGCACACGAGTGGTATATATAAAAAAGAGAAAAAAGATTTATTGGATAAGTTAAATTTGCTAGATAAAAGGCGGAAAATGTCCTTTTGACTCAAGAGGAAATTGATATTAGATGGTTTTATAGGAATAGGCTTTCTTCAATTCTGAGAGAAGAGGAAATAAAGTGGTATCAGAGAGCTAAAACTAAAGATATTTTGGAGGGTGATTCTATTACAAAGTATTTTCATTTGGTTGCAAATGGAAAGCATAGGAAAACTAGAATTTTTCAATTACAGGATGGCGATCAAATAATAAATGGTGATGCGAATTTAAAAGCGCATATTACCACTTATTATAAAGGTTTATTTGGTCCTCCTGAAGACTCTTCTCTGCAATTTGATGAGAATAGAATAGTGGATGTCCCGCAAGTCTCTCAGTTGGAGAATGAAGCTTTAACGCAACCTTTCTCTGAAATGGAGATTAAGGAGGCTGTTTTTCAGATGGAGCATAATAAAGCACCGGGGCCGGATGGTTTTCCGGCAGAGTTTTACCAAGTTTTTTGGAATGTTATTAAAAATGACTTGTTGGAGCTTTTTAATGATTTCCATAGGGGTACTCTACCTTTGTTTTCTCTTAATTTTGGCACAATTATTCTGCTGCCTAAGTGTGTTGACGCTATTAAGATTCAACAATATAGACCTATATGTTTACTAAATGTGAGTTTTAAGATTTTTACCAAAGTTGCAACGAATAGAATAATGGGAGTTGCTCAAAAAGTTATTAGTCCCACTCAAACGGCCTTTATTCCAGGTAGAAATATTATGGAAGGAGTGGTTATTTTATATGAGACTATGCATGAATTACATCGTAAAGACAAAAGCGGTGTAATCTTTAAGATTGATTTTGAAAAAGCTTATGATAAAGTAAAATGGTCCTTTGTACAACAAATGTTGAGGATGAAGGGTTTCTCTCCTAAATGGTGTGAGTGGATAGCTTCTTTTATTCAAGGTGGTCATGTTGGTATAAAAGTAAATGATCAAATTGGCAACAATTTTCAAACATACAAAGGTCTTAGGCAAGGGGATCCGCTATCACCAATTCTTTTTAACATAGTAGCTGATATGCTTGCTTTGTTAATTAAGAGAGCTAAAGAAGTGGGTCTCTTAAAAGGGGTTATTCCTCATCTAGTGGATGATGATTTGTCTATATTACAATATGCAGATGATACCATTATCTTTCTGGAACATGATTTGCAGCAGGCAAAGAATCTTAAATTGATTTTAACTGTTTTTGAAAAGCTATCTGGCTTAAAAATAAATTTTCACAAAAGTGAATTATTTTGTTTTGGTCAGGCAAAGGAGTGTTATGATCAATATTCCAATATCTTTGGTTGTAAGTTAGGTTCTTTCCCTGTTAAATATTTAGGAATTCCAATGCATTTTAGGAAACTATCTAATAAAGATTGGAAAGTGATTGAAGAAAGATTTGAGAAAAAGCTTAGTAGTTGGAAAGGTAAACATTTATCTGTCGGGGGAAGGTTGGTCTTGATTAATTCTGTACTTTCAAGTTTAGCTATGTTTATGATATCTTTCTTCGAGATACCCAAAGGGGTTCTTCAAAAGATTGATTATTATAGATCACGGTTCTTTTGGCAAGGTGATGATCATAAGAAAAAGTACAGACTCACTAGATGGGATATTATTTGCCAACCTAAGGATCAGGGAGGCCTTGGGATTCATAATTTGGAATTACAAAATAAATGTCTTTTGAGTAAGTGGTTGTACAAGCTAATAAATGAGGAAAGGGTTTGGCAGAACTTATTGAAAAGGAAATATCTTTATAACAAGTCTATAACCCAAGTGGACAAGAAACAAGGTGATTTCCATTTTTGGTCAGGGCTTATGAAAGTCAAAAGTACTTTTTTAGATATGGGCTCTTGGATTGTGAATGATGGGGAACAAATAAGATTTTGGGAAGATAAATGGCTAGGTAACTTGGCTTTCAAGGATAAATTTCCATCTTTATATGCTATAGTCCGAAGGAAATCATCCACTATTGCCACTGTTATGGGATCTGTTCCGATTAATGTTTCTTTTAGAAGAGCTTTAGTTGGTCAGAATCTTGTATATTGGCATGAGTTGTGTGCTTCTATTGTACATATTCAATTAAATCCTTCTTCTGACTGTTTTAGATGGAATTATCATCAGAATGGTAGGTTCTCAGTAAGGTCAATGTATCTAGCTTTAATTAACAATGGTTATGTTGAGAGGAACAAATATATATGGAAACTTAAGATGCCGCTTAAGATTAAAATCTTTATGTGGTATTTGCTTAAGGGGGTTGTGTTGACCAAGGATAATTTGGCGAGACGGAATTGGAATGGTAGCTTAAGGTGTTGCTTTTGTATGAAAAATGAAACTATTCAACATCTCTTCATGGATTGTCATTATGCAAAATTCATATGGAGAGCAGTTCAGTTTTCTTTTGGTTTTAATCTTCCAACTAGTATATCTCATATATTTGATGGGTGGCTTTTGGGGATTGACAAGAAAAAGATTAAACTGATACTGGTTGGAGCTTCTGCCATTTGTTGGGCTCTATGGTTGAGTAGAAATGATTTGGTTTTTAATAAATCACTATCTATTTCATATATGCAGGTAATTTTCAGGGCAACGCACTGGCTCCGGTTTTGGGCACAGCTACAAAGGTGTGAGGATGATGGGGAGTTTCTAAAGGTTGCATGCCGCAAGTTGGAGTCGATGGTTATGCAATTATTTGCCAATTATGGATGGAGGTTCACAAATAGACTTCAATAAATGTGTTCTCCTTATTTTGGCTTAGTTTCCTCTGTTTTTGTTTGGTGTGTCCTATTTAGCTTAACTACGTTCTTTTCTGGATTGATACAATGTAATAATTGGCTGTAGCTCTTTTTGAGCAAAGGCTGGGATGTTAAATTCCATTATCTAAAAAAATATAAGTAGAAACTGAATAAACCCTTACCAGTTCAATTTACCGGTTTCACCGGTTTTGTCTCTGTTTCACTCACATGCGCATCTAGACTTTCATTCAAACTAGATGCTGGTTCAGTTTTCTCTGGTTAACCCGCGCCGGTCTGGTGTTCTGATACCATATTCTTCTATATGTTGTTCACGCTAATTATTTTATATGCTGAAAATTGTATTAGTAGATATTTTGTAATCGAACTTTGGTAAAAGTTTAGAGAGTTCTAAGCATTTCTAAATTGTGTTGTTAAAAAAAATAATTTTACTACAATGTTGTCGAGTGTCGATATATTTTCTCGTCAATCACCGATGATCTCCAAACCAACCAGTTTTTGTTGAGATTCATGTAACGGTGAGTAGTACTGCTCTCTTTGTTTTAAAATATAGTAATTCTAACATTTGTTTTAAAATATATATAATTCTAACATTTGAAATATGTAAAAAAGTTAACTATGTCTAGAGTAATGCTGCTGTAAATGTCTAGAGTAATGCTGCTGTAAAACATTTAAAATAAATTTATTTTTCACTCATCCCACACACATACCATTACAAAAGTAAAAGAATTCTTCACATTACCAAATGCCAAACCTCCAATAAGGTTGTGTCCTACTTTATGTACTTCGAGAACATATTTGTCTCCTATTTCACAAACTCAAATGTAAGGATTGCTCCAATCTGAACTTATTTTGGGACAAAGAAGAGGGAGGCAAAGATAAACTTATTTTAGGATAGAGAGAATATTTTACTACTTATCCTGTCAACAACCCCTAATTTCATTTGTTGTTAACACCAAAATTTGGTAAGATTCTTTAGTGGATTTGGTTAAGGAAAATGCACAATCGATGGAAAGCTTATCCAGAAGAGTCCGACTTCAGAAAGAAATCATGAAGACCATGACATGACAGTTTAATTCTATCTATTAATTAAGTAGGTTTAGTAATTTTCCTTTATCTTTACGAAATTTTGCCTAGTGTTCGATCATGACTTGTATCTTTCTTTTTGTCTTTAGGAAACATGTGTCATGTCCGATATGGACTAGTATCCACCCATGCGTATAATTATATACATCCGTTCTTTTTTAATCTATCCCTCGATCAATACAACTATTCTCGGCACATTGCCACCCTCTTTTGCGAGGTTTTTATCACCTGCAGAACTTGGCACATGACGTGGGGCTGCATCGGCTTCAATCTCCGGTGAAGGGGTAAGTCCTAAGTTCCGCCGGCTCTTGGCAATTTTATCGGCTATATTGATGTCATTCAAGGCTGCACTGCTTTGTTCTCTTGGATTGTTCTGGTTTGGTTGGTATAATTATCTACCTGATACTTCAATTCTATTTTTAATTGCATTGTGTACCTGATACTTCAATTCTATTTTTAATTGTATTGTGTTTAGAGACGTATTGGTTTAGTTGGGGCTGTCTTGGTTAGGTCCGATCTTCTGCCTTAACTGATATATATATCTACAATCATAATGTTGCTTTAAATAGATTTGTTATATCCATCACTTTATACATGATTTATCAACGTTATTAGGTTTATTCGTTTCTGTAAACTTAATGTTGCATCGGTTTGGTCTGACCTATTAGGTTTACTGTTGTTGATTAATAGATCTAATCTAGCCTGGTAACTCATGTATACTGTTTTATCAGAGTGCTAGCTTGTAAGTTATCTTTGCATCGGACTTCCAACCGATGTATGTTTTAACCATTGAGCCTACATTTAATATTTTGTATCAATATCGGCCGATTGGTTCATTGGACATATACTTCATGATATTATCATCGACCAAATTGGAATGTTTGTTCAAGTTCATCCATTGTTTTATCTAAGTGTCAGAATCTACATCGGACATATAGCCGGTCATTCAAAACACTATTGTCATCAGCTAGTATTGCTGCATTGGCTTGTTAGTCAATCGGCTATTTGGTCATCAACATATTTATATCTTGTCAGTTGCAGGATCAAACTGACTGGCACGCCTGTATCTCAGCAAGATTTAGGACCTACACTGGAGCTAAGCAAATCTCCTAGGCCTTTGTGTTGTTTTTCACGTCAACAATTACCCTCAAGGCCCTAACCGCCCTTCAGCTTTCCACCTCAACCATACCTTAACAAGAGGCATCATATTCTTTTCTATCAAATATTAATATTTACTAAAACACTTATACTTTGTATCGAAGGGAATAGTTTTCTTTGGAAGAGCTTTCATGTATAGCACTATGAAACTATAGAATTGTACTTTCCTTTGTCACAATTATAGGTATGTTTGGGTTGTTTAGAAGAGATTAAGGTTAAGGAGGAAAGACTTTATCCTTCTCATTGGATCACAGATGAATAGGAGTAGGAGGATGATTGGGGATCAGATGTGAAAAAATGAATATAAGGTGATTGATAAGACAAGTAGTACGGAATATTTATATTTATAAAAAGAGATATAAAACACTTGTAATGCTTATATTTGTGAATAGGGGGAGTATTGAAACCTTTTCATTTTGTAGCATGTGCATGCCCTTTTCTATTGAAGACATGGAGAGAACATGTACCTGTCCTGCTGCATGTCAGTATGCTATTTTAGTACTAGCCCCTCTTTTTAATTTATTTACGGATTGTTTTGAGAAAAATTACACCGTAATTGCGCTATAGTTATCTCATAATTGCACAATAGTTTTGCGTACACATAATCACGCCCTGGCTTTGGTGTAGTTTTTTTAATATGTTGAATGTAATAATTTTATATTTGTTTAATTAAAACACATTCATATGAATTTCCATAAATTTTAAATGTATCAATATCACATATTTCAAAGCATGTCGTTCATTCAGACATCAATTTCTAAAGAAATATCACTAATTTGAGTTGCATTTGAGCTAAATATTGTAGTTAACTAGCAAAAATGCCCGTGCGTTGCAACGGGTGACAAAATTTCAATGACAATGTATGCTTTCCATGCATAATCATGTCTATGATAATAATCGTATCGATCGCTGTAGCTAAGATATATTATAAGGAAAATTGAAATATCTTCAATATAATGATCCGATCTCGACGATCACAACCTTACTAATGCATGTTTTACCCAAACGAATTGGAATTATTTATGAGGTTGTACACATATAATCCAAAATACTCTTTCAATCTCATTTTTGCAATTAATAATAGGATTAATCAAATCCTACATTGTCTCATATTGTCAAGTCTAGACAAATAGAGCCTCAATGCACTCCTCTTTTAATAACAATTAAAAATATGTTTATTTTTTATTGTTATTTTTATATGATAAGCTACCAAGAATTAGCTATACTGTCTGGTAGTCTGATAATTGCATACAGAGACATGTAGGATCTCCAATACAAGAGAATATAATCATGGAAGCCATATAGGAGATGGAAAAATCGAGGATCCTATCCGACCCAAAGCCTCGATCAATTTGATCTCATTCCGAGAAAACAAAGCCTAAGCAATACTTGTTTTAGATCTGCATGCCTGAACATTTGAGCCAGATACACCAGTGCGGACGACGCGTGGTGGTGGCGGCAGCAGCGACGACTGAGGTAGGTGCTCTGATGGCGAGTCTCGCCACTGCTCGTGATGTCGTGTGTGGCACGCCTCGACGACGAGGACATGGGGGCCGGAGGCGGCATGGAGGAGGCGTGGGCGACGAGCAGGTGGCAGCTGTCGCGCGCCACGAGGTCAGACACCTCATGGTGTGCGTGAGCATGCATGTCGTGATCAGAAATCCGGTAGGGGAACGATGCCCAGTGCCGATGCAAAGTACCAGGTGATTGATCGATTTCATTGGATTGCAATCTCCTGGTTCCCTCCAAGTGGATTTTATTGTGGTTATTTGTCCGATTCAATGTCTAAATCGAATCCATCCTTGCTTTTCCCTTCATTTTAGTAGCGCCTTGGCTGGATGCGTCGCTCAGATCGGATTGCGAGAAAGGAATGACGGATGAATGCCAACACAAATATGCGTATGGCCAAAAAACAGATTTAAGGATGAAAGAATTAGGTGACGAACGAAAAATTACTATTTTTTAAGTAGTTAAAATAAGATATAACCTTTTTATAAATAAAGCACTAAGTTATAAGTGGTTTTTTAAGGGCATTTGCAAATTACCACCGTTTTTTTCAATTTTGTAAGGATGCCACTCGAATTACAGTTCTAGTGGTATTTTTGTAATTTTGTAGTTTCATTTTTGCAATAACGATTAAAAAGTGGTAAATTTATGTTGACGATCGTTAGCGATTAGTTTCGACCGTCAATATTATCAAAATAGAGGAGAACTAGTTATGCTTGCAATGCATATTTGTGTTAGAATAATAATATTCCACTAGTATTAGATCTACTAACCTTTTGCAGAGAATAACCATAAAGTGGAGGAGAATCAACATGAAATTAGACGATAAATCAATCAGACGATGTCAAGGATCAGACTTATGTATGAATGGGCCAAGAACTCAGAAATGACACGACCAATTGGGCCAAAATTCACAAGTTTGTGGAAAGAAGCAGTGGAGGAGGCCGCCAGCCGAGGATGGGCTGGTTTGGCCCAGCCCATGGTTCGGCCGAACCCCCATCAGCGCCGTCCATCCTGGGGTTTTGCGTCGACGTCCAGGATTCATCCTCAATGATGGTTGCAGGGCAGTTAGGACATTTCCAACTGCCACAACCGTCATTATCAGCTATAAAAGGGCTTCACCTCCTTACTCCATACACACACCTCAAGAAAAGCTCTCTCATATTCTCTCAAGTTTAGTTTAGTGTTCTTAAGCTAATGGAGTAGGAATAGAATAGAAATTGGAGTCCGGAAGCCTTTGGAAGAGTTCGGGTATGGCTATAGTAGCTTTCATTTCCTCTTTTGTAAGCTTTGTACTGTTATTAGAATACTCTTCTTTATATATTTATGGTATTGAAATACTTTCCGAGTATATGAATGCCAATTTTATATTATGTTCATGTTATACTGATTATACTGCTAGCTTATCTAGGAGATGCATAGGTACGGGTATAATGTTTGCTTATGCAATTACTCTATGTCATGACGATGATATTAGAGTAGTATATAGTAGTTTAGGCGTGGTGTCTAGATTACGGGATATCATTATTTGGGTTATATGCTGCGGATGAGAGATGGGCCGCTGATGGTGATAGCTCAGTACGGGTATTCCTTTGTGCGTGTATATAGTCCTTAGTTAATTTCCTGGGGAGGGTACTCCTCCGTATTTAGCCTCGGTTGTATGGTCATGACGGGCTGTCGTAAGGAACTCGGCAGTAAGGGGTGGCTTCTCGAAATACTAGGAGGACATCGGAAAGAGGGTATTAGCTAGTTAATCATATAACTAGAATGTATGTATATTATGTATACTAGAAGTATAGGAATAGATTCTCTTTCTATTTTCTTTCCACTTAGCTTAGATATTTTAGTATGAGAATGATTAGCTCCCTGCTTGTATGTCACTCTACACTTGATTTATCTTAACCCCTGCTTAGACTATGATTATTACAAGTAACACAATTGACTTTTTTTTACCGCTCGGAGAGAGAGCGCCGCGTGCCTCGAGTCTTCCGCAGATCCTTATCTCGTTTTCCTTCTCCTCTCAGTTTTTCTCTCCTCCTCTCGGTTTTTCTTCTTCTCCCCTCCATCTCCGTCCCTCCCCCCATGGCGGCGTCGCTCCCCGTGGCACCCTTCCCCTGAGACGGCGGTGCCCTTGCCCTGAGCCGGCGACTCAGCCGTGGTGCCTCCTCTCTCCCTCTCCTTCTACATGCGATCCTGTGCCAAGGCTGCCTGGCGAGCAGTGGTGAGCAGCGGCCGGCAAGCTAATCCTTGGCGTCAGCGGCTCTCTTTCCGTGAGACGGGCGGTGGAGCCTCTCTGCCCCTCGCCTCCTCTCCCTCGCCATGGGGCCGCGGGAGGGCTTGATCGTGGCGTGCGGCGGCAGGCGGTGGCGCCCACCCTTCCGGTGGGAGGGGAGGCGGCGGATAGGGGCGGTGTCCTTCCCTCCGCCGGATCTGGCGGTGGGGAGGGCGCAGTGGGAGGGGAGCCGGCGGTGGCCAGGTGTCCCTGCGACGGTGGCGGCGGTTCGGCGGTGACGGCGGTAGTCTCCCCTTAGATCTAGCTGCATGGGAATTTTTGGATAAAATTTGTGTGTATATGCTTCAGTTTTATTTGTGCGATGGAATTCTGACCGGGAATTTTTTTTTGGGGGCGGGGTTGGGGATTGTGTGACAGAATATCTTCAGAAATAGAAATAGGAGGCTTTGACTTTTGCAAAAGATTTGATTTTATCTATTTTAATCAGACTCGGGGTTAGGACACAAGGGAGCGATCTGCCGCGCCTTTTTTCACCCTTCCTTACGTTTTTTTATCACCCTTTTTTACAGCTTTTTTTTTCCGCGTCATTGATTGAATCGGACTTTCTTTTTTTTTCTTTTTACGTTTTTTTCGCTCTTTTTTTTGTTGTAGACAGACGGAAACTTCTTTAAAAAAATAATTTTTTTAAGTAGTAGAGATTTAGAGAAATTTGAATGTTGTCCTTTGTAGTTGGAAATTTGTCACATCATGTATAGATGCATCTAAAAATATTATAAATATATTTATTTTGTTGTGACGTTGGATAGTTTAAAATGAACTAAGTAATGTCATATATTATGAGATAGAGGATAATTATCTAAAAAATCTGTTGCAAATTTTTTAAGTGGAAACTTTTAAATATAATGTAACATAGTTATGATGTAATTCCTCATAATTATATTATAGCTATAATATAACTTGTATATAAGTATTAAAAAAATATAGGCAACCTTTTATACCTAAATTATATAGAGGTTATAATATAGTTACAGTTATTGCATCTTATTGTAACTAATTGTAACTATACTGTAATTATAATATATAACTGGTTTAACACAAATTTTAACGTAGCATCGTACGGCTAAAAATTGGGAAGCTGGGATGAAAAAAAACTTGCGCAAGTTTTCTGGCAATTCCGTAAAAAAAAACAGAGAGGGTAAACACATACCGTAGCATCCATCTTTTACGTAAGGATTTCCTTGGTAACCCGGAGAGCAGCGGCACCGATACCCCACCACCACATCGTCAGAAACGTCACCGTAGTAACCTTCGTAAAAGCTGTGCACGCTGCGACACTCGGCAGCGGACGCAGGCGCAGGCGCAGACTCATTCGTCGACATCGGGCATGTCGAATTATCACCTACTATGAACCAGTCTAGCATGGCTGGGAGCGCTTGAGGGAAATTTTTTTCGAAAATCATAAGGCCGGTGTAATTGAATGGCTGATCTACTATGTACGCCGAGCCATCATTAAAAGTAGGACTGGACGACGGCGCATCCTGCTCTTGCAGGTCGTGGATCTGGACGGTGTAGCGAGAGTAGCGTAGGACGATGTTCGCCTGGCAGCAGCCGACGCCCGAGCAGGAGCCGTCGCCAGCTCCGATGTAGGTGGTGCTAGGATCAGGTGATGGGCACACGACGGTGCAGGAGCTGATCAGGGTGTTGTTGCTTCCTCCCCGGACGTCGAACCGCGCTTGGCAGCCTACCAAGACGACCATATTGGAAGGATCATCCAACAGGTAGTACGGGCCTCTCACCTCCCACGTTGTGTTGATGACGGCTTGCTTGTCGGCAGACTTGGTGAACGCGATGAGGCTGCTGTTGATGCGCACCGTGGAGTTGGAGATGGAGATGTCGAGCACCTGGTGGGACGTGCCGGCGCCGTCGACGAGGAAGAGCGTGGGCGGGTGGTACGAGTGGTTGCAGGTGAGGTTGAAGCCGGGGTAGTAGCAGTCGGCCTCCACGCCGAACGGGTACGGCACGCTGATGTTGCCGCAGCTCCGCGTGCAGCCGCCGCCGCCACTCCCCGCTGCGGCTGCTGCCACCGCAAGCAGCATAGCGGTCGCGGCCGCTATACAAGAGACCAGTGTTGCTACCCTCTCCATCTTTGTGTTTGTGTGTGTGTGTGCGCAGTGTGTGCGCGGGAGCGCGAGCCCAGAAGCATATAAAGAACGGCTGTTCGCCCGTCCCCTTTCATGCGGGATAAATGATCGAACGTACATAACAACTATTGGTCAATCGAAACGCAGACTGGGTCAGTCGTCGCATGGTCGGTCAACATAGCACAGAGATTTTATCACTTCAAGGTCGCTGCTAGTTATAGCTATCAACGTCGCTGCTTAATTTGACGATAAAGCTCAAGTTGCACTCGGAGAGGCACTAGCTAGTACAGATCCGGTCATCCTCGACGAGTCATCTGTGTCGAGCTAATTAATGTGACCCGTTTCGGATGACTCATCTCTAACAGTTCAAAAAGTATCTTATTTAAGATATGACTATTAGGGATGATCTCGTTTGTCGGGTTTGTAGATCTAACATGTCACGGATGACCTATAACGAGTCACAACCATACCCGTCACCGATTTAAAGTCATCTTTGTCGGGTCGTAGTTTTAACATGTCACGGATGACCTATAACAGGTAACAACCATACCCCGTCACGGATAACATGTCATCCGTGACGGGTGAAATGAGATGACCCATCAAAGATGAAAGCACTTATTTGTGACGGGTCTTAATTAACACCCTTCACATAAAACGTTACGAATCATTACAGATGAGGAAAAATTCAAAATTTTCAAGTTTTCAAACAACCTCAGATAGAGACATGCCCTGTATAAAAGTTGTAGATCTCGATGTGATCTATAACTTTAAAACTGATAATATTTGAATTTGAGATAGTTATACATGCACGAATATGCATTATAAGTGGTGAGAGCTATTTTGAAATATGTAATTTTAAATTTTTCAAATGATCTCGGATGGAGACATGGCCTATATCAAAGCCAAAGGGTTTGATGAGATCGACAACTTTCTAATTGAAAATATTTTCATTTAAATTTAGTTTTCATCTCCAAATAAGTGTTACAAGTGATGTGATCTATTTCAAAAATATTTTTTGAATTTTTCAAACGGCCTTGGACTGAGATATACCCTACACTATAAAGTTGTAGAGCTCGATGAGATCTATATTTTTGAAATTTTCAAATGGCCTTGGATGGAGATATACCCTACACTAAAGTTGTAGTGCTCGATGAGATCTGCAACTTTGTAGTTGAAAGCATGCTCATTCGATGTCTTCTAGAGTTTCAAATGTGTCTTTCATATTCGAACAAGAATAGTTAAAATTAAAAAATAACATCTCATTTCCAATCAAAATGTGGTCTCTAAGTGAGATGTAAGAATGGTTTGCACATGTTGAGAGGTCTTAGGTCCAAATCTCATGTATGACATATATGCATATATCACTTGAAAAATGAATTTCTAAGTAGTGCACACATTGTTAGAATATCCTATCAACATTTAAAATATTTATAGGGCTTTTTTATGTATTTAAAATTCAAAAATAGTAAATTCTAAAGACTGTTATCCGTGATGGCGGCCGACTCGACATAGATGACATTTCACATTAGTGACCTTTGGTGCGTGACGGTACCCATCGCCGACAGAGATGAGGCTTCCCGCTCGTTATATATGAGGCTTCCCGTGCTAGTGAGGTCAATGTAAGCCAATGGCGATACGTGTACGTTGAGAACAAGGATCTCGATCGACAAAAAGTACTTTTAAAACTTTGATTGTCCATCTTAATCTCTTATATACTAAAAGTCCATTAATCTCCCTATAAATGCTCTCAAGTTGATACGTGGCATTCTACAAACGCTTCTAAGCCGCTACGTGGTAGTTGTTGACGGTTGTTATCGATCAGTTTCGACCGTCAATACTGCCAAAACAAAGGAGAACTAGTGATGCTTGTAATGCATAAATATGTTAGAACAATAATATTCCACTAGTATTAGGTCTACTAACCTTTTTGCAGAGAATGACAATAAAGTGGAGGAGAATCGACGTCAACATGGACGATAAATCAATCGGACGATGTCGAGAGATAGACTTATGTATGAATGGGCCAAGAACGCAGACTTGACACGATGAATCAGGCCAAAATTCACAAGTCTACAAAGTGAAGCAGCAGAGGAGGCCACCAGCCGAAACTAGGCTGGATTGGGCCAGCCCTAGGTTCGGCCGAACCTGGTGGTTCGGCTGAACCTCCCACAACTCCGTTTGATCCAGGGTTCTCCTGGACGGCTGAGATGGCTCCCCAATGACGATTGGAGGGTATTACTGACTATTCCAACCATCACAACTGTCATTGGGAGGCTATAAATGAAGCTCTCATCCTCACTTCACTCACACACCTTAAGTAATAGCTCACTCATTTCTTTCAAGTTTAGTTTAGTAGTATCTAGCTGGTGGAATAGAAATAGAATAGGAGTCAGGAGTCCGGAAGCCTTCGGAAGAGTTCGGGTATGGCTCTAGTAGCTTTCCTTTCCTTTTTTTGTAAGCTTTGTATTTTTATTAGAATATTCTTCTATATACATTTATGGTATTGGAATACTTTCTAAGTATATGAGTACCTACTTTACATTATATTCATGTTATACTGAATATACGGCTAGCTTATCTGGGAGATGCTTTACTGCGGGTATAATGTTTGCTTATGCAATTACTCTATGTCATGACGATGATATTAGAGTAGTATCTGGTAATTTAGGCGTGGTGTCTAGATTACGGGATATCATTATTTGGGGTAATATATTACGGATAAGAGGTGGGCCGCTGATGGTGACAGCTCAGTACAGGTATTCCTCCGCGCCTATATATAATCCTAAGTTAATTCCCTGGGGAGGGTATTCCTCTGTATTTAGCCCCGGTTGTATGATCATGACGGGCTGTCGTAAGGAACTCGACAGTCAGGGATAGCTTCTCGAAGTACCAGGAGGGCATCGGATAGAGGGTATTAGCTAGTATATCCGTTAACTGGAATGTATGTACTATGTATATTAGAAGTATAGGAATAGATTCTTTCTCTTTTCTTTCCACCTAGCTTAGATCATTTATTATGAGAATGAGTCGTTAATGCTTGTGTGTCACTCTACCCTTGGATTATCTTAACCCCTACTTAGAATATGATTATCACAAGTAATATATAAATTATTAGCTGAGTTCTCTCTACATGATCTTCCTACGAGATAAAATAAATACGATACCCTTGGAATACTCTCGGGTGAAATGCTACAATGGTATATCCGTGCGCTTGCGAATAAACTCTGTAACCATAATATACCAGAAGTATTTCTGCGCCATTGCTGGAAATTATATTTCTAGTAACGTCGTTAAGAAATACCAACAGTAGTGCTCTACTAAATTAGAGAAAATCATAAAAATTCTAAGGAAAAAGCAAAATATCCAGCCATTGGTTTTCTTTTAAATCGGTGGACCTATTATTTGAGACCATTAGATTAGAAAATAATAGTAATCATATGTACAACTTCAAAAAATTCCCGGATACGTATAGAAAACTCTATCCTAATCTCCACTAAAATTCTCCATTAGGTACCGAAATCCATCCTAATCTTCCATATATGTACGACATAAACTATACGTGCCATTCACCATGAATCTGCGGAAAAAAAAATACATACAGACGTACGTACGAACTAATAAGCCCATCCTCCTCTACCACGCAAATGTCATCTAATAATATTTCTCTCAACTGACCGGTGACCTAAGAAGAAATTGGCTGTTTTATACTGAGTTTGCATCGTAAGTCGTCACAGTGATGGAATTCATCTCAGCTAGATTTTTTTCCAATTCTGTAAAATTTTGTGAAACTCCTGCGTTCCTAGGAGGCAGTGGGCTTGGCTTCCAATGCAAACTGGAAAAACTCACTATACATAAAAACTTCATTAATATAGTGTATTTTTTATCAGATTTAAAAAACTTCATTAGATTATTACCACTAAATTTATCATCCAAAACCCGTATTAACTACTATACTTTGGAGTATATTTTAACTATATCATGATTATATTACTTTAGGTCAAAACCTAATTAACCCCGTTTGCATGTAATCTGAACCATCATAAAAATATAACAAAAAAAGAAAATGTTGATTATAGCATTATGTATTAATTCACATACATGGATAACTAAATTATTTCTGCGATGCCATAAGAAATAAAACAAAAGATAAGAGTGATATTTCAACACAATATTCCCTTCATTATAAAAAATGTGGTAAGTCAGAATACCATTATTATATCTGTAATGAAAATAACTAAAAGTATCAAGTATATGTCCCACTAATCTCGACTGGAGAAATGATCTTTGCTGGGTCACACAAAATCACATAAGTTCCGGTTTGAGTAAAATTCGAAACTAAAAAATATCTTTAGGCCCGGTTTGAAAACCTATATGTACTTTTGTTATTTTTAGTTTTATTTTTAAAAATTATTTTTATTTTTATTTTTATTTTTAGTTTTAAAAATAAATAATTTATTTTTAAAAATAAATAATTACTTTTGTTATTTTTAGTTTTATTTTTAAAAATTATTTTTATTTTTATTTTTATTTTTACTTTTAAAAATAAATAATTTATTTTTAAAAATTCTTTATTTTTTGTTATTTTTAAAAAATATCATTTTTAGCCCCGGTGTCAGACCTCTATCATCTTTAGTCCTGGTTGTTTGTACCATCCGGGACCCAAATTTAAAAAATCGCAAAAAGTCCCATGAGTCACGTGCGTGGCGCTGCCACTTCATCCTTATCCGTTCCCCTCCTCTTCTCCTTCTCCCCTCTCATTTTCTCCTCCACCTCCTCCCATCCCCCTCTCTCCTCCCCTTCCTCTGGCCCCTTCCCTCTCCTCCCCCTTCCCCCTCCTCAAACTCCGGCAACAGCGGGCGATGGCCGAGAGGCGGCACACGGCCATGGCCGCGCACGAGAGAAATAGCGGCCGGGAGGGGACGCCGAGCGGCTAGAGGGCTGTGCTTTTGGATTTTTTTTTTAGATTTTTTTGGATGATTTGAAAACTTTGTTGTGCATTATTTTAGATTTGTGGATGATTTTGTGAATGACTTGTGGAGTGTGGATGATTTTGTGGATGGGCAATTGTGGATGATTTG